AACATGAGCTGCCAATGCCAGACCTCAGCCAGCAAGGCCAGCCATACCTTGTCATTCATCCAAAAATGCATCTCAAGCCAGTCCAGAGAGGTGATCCTCCCCCTCTATGTGGACCTTTATAGGGACCTGGTGGCTGCCTACAAACTCATCAGGGGAGATCAATAGCAAATAGGTAGAGCCCTTTTCTCCCCAGCACCACCTGGGGTGATGAGGAACAATGGTAATAAGCTGATGGAGAATAGGTTTAGGTTAGAGATCAGGAGGCAATATTTTACAGTTAGGGTGGCCAAAATCTGGAACCAACTTCCCAGGGAGGTGGTCCTCACCCCTACCTTGGGCAAATTCAAGAGAAGGGTGAATGATCACCCTGTCTGGTGTCTTGTGAACCCAGCATTCATTCCTGCCTGTGGCAGGGGATCAGGCTAGATGATCTGTTCAGGTCCCTCCTGACCCTAGCTACTATGAAACTATGAATAGTGTCATAATGTGAAAGCATCAGAATTTGATAAAATTGGGAAAAAAACCTGTCCTGCTAAACCTTAATGGCATTATGGTACAAGCTCTGATGCCTTTTTTTTATCAGCTGCAGCAGGGGCTAGCATCCCTGCACCTTTCACCCTGCTGCGCCTTAACACACACAGTGTCACCCATGTCATGAGTTTTGCTCGTCCATAGCTTGAGGTGTAGTTCCCCACCAAATCCCTGCACCAATCTTCTTGAAACTTGGCAAGCTTTATGGCCTCACCAGGGGCCACTACCCCTGCAGTTTTGACCCCCCTCTGTTGTAACACATAGACGTGACATGAGTGTTGCTTTCAAGAATTTGGGGTGCAGTTTCCCCCAAACCCCTCCACCGATCTTCTTGAAACTTGGTACATGTTGTGCTCTCAACAGTGCTACCACCCCTGCAAGTTTCATGCAAATCAGGCAAAAAACAATGAAGTTATAGCTATTTCATTGATTCCCCATTATGCCCTATGGCTGGATCTCCGAGGTGGCTCTGAAGCTTCAGAGCCGCTTCGGCCGGATTGAAGCAGAAGCCTGGTCCAGAGCTCTGGATCGGATCGCTGGCATCCAAAGTGACTGGATTCGAAGGTAGATCAGATCCCTGCTGACTCGCACAGGCCTAATAGATGATCAGCTAGGTAATTCAGTGTGTGGAGGATGTGGTTGGGAGGGCACTGAACCTTCAAGCCAGGATGACCAGACACACTCCCCTGGAACACAAGGGACCTTGTGGGCCATGGACCTGGGCAGGGCATGTGATGTTGAATGAATCACGGGGCATCAGCCAAAATTTAAGATTCTGGAAGTGACCTAAACAGCGGAGCCCAGTGAAGTGGGTACAGGGGCTCCAAGTCTGTGAAGTGAGAGTGAGAACCACACACTGGGAACTGCACCCTTGCACATCCACCACTGCTTCCATCCATCCATCCATCCTTACAGTCTTCTACCTAACCCCTCACAGTCAGACCCTCACCCACCCAGGGACACCAAGATCCCACAGGCACCATCACAGATCATAGATGAACCCAACGCCATTAGCCAAACCCAACAAGTGGCTGTTCGGGCAAATAAAGGATCTCATCGCCATCGGGTAAGTGAAGAACATTCAGCACCAGCTTCAGGTAGAGCATCAAATTAGGTATGTCTTCAAGCATATCACTGAGGAGATGCAGGCGAGGGGTCACAACAGAAACTGGTTGCAGTGCCTTGCCAAGACCATGTTGATGAGGAGGCATTATTACTGCATGCTTGACCCAACAACGCTGTCTGTGGGCCAAAGGCAGAGCGTGCCATTCTACAAGGACCTGTGCCACTTCCTCGCTAAGAATAAGGCAGATGTCCCCCGCCCACAGGACCAGGGATGTTCTGGAGGAGAGTCACCTGCAGGGACCCCACTGGAGGAGGAGGAGGTGGAGGGAGACTCTGAGACACTATTCCCGACACAGGGGCCGTGGCTGTTCTGGACCAAGTCTTACCACACATCTCTGTGCCTCTCCCAGAGGCATGGAGTGTGTACCAGCCCTCCCAAGGATCAGTGCAGTGGCTGCTGCGTTGGTATGACCCACCAACCAGTTTTTCCAACACTTCTGATGAGGCAGGCCATGTGCAAGGATGCCATGCAACCTGTGATGGTAATATTTGCCCCAGCTCTACATGACCATGACAGGGACTCAGGCCCTGGGGGAAACACAGAACCCCTGGAGGGGGGAGGAAGGGGCAGCACCAGGAGCCAAAGGTGTCACAGGACACCCCCTGCAGTCACAGCCATTATGGCTGAGAAGCCCCCAGAGGAGTTGGGGCTGGGATGGGGATGGGGGGCCAGGAATGCTGGGGCACAGAGGTGAGGGTGAATTGCCCATTTTCCCTCCCACACCCCACCCCCTCAAGCCTGGAGCCCAGCCATTGCACCAATTCCTACATCCCCATCACTCTTGGGTGCTTAAGAGAGCGTGTCTCAGTCAATGGGATCATAAATCTGCCTAATTGACACGTCCTTGCCATTTGTGTCGGGGCCATGCTGCTCTCCATGGGAGATTGGAGACTAAGCACAGATGCCTCAAGCACTTGCAGGTAAACAGCTCCCCTTCCCCTCCAAGCATTCATGAAAAGGCATTGATAGGATTTATTGAGGTCAGCAGGCAAAGGGTGAACAGCAGCTTTGGCAGAGAGCACCCCCAGGTCAGGGACAGGAGATACGATGCAGCTATGTCTGACAACAGGCGGCCAAACACCTGCTGAGTGAATGAAAGGTATGTGTATGAGGCGCCAGTGAAATAAAATAAAGATATTATAAGCTCCAGTCACAGACTGTGATCTCAGACCATGCACCATGGACTCCTGTCACCGGGGGCCATGAGACTGGCAAGAGGAACAAACTGGGGCACGTACAGGAGAAATGGATGGGCCGGGAGGCCGTTCTTACTCCTGGGCTGCTAAATCGCCTGACTGGGGGCTCTAGGTGGCCACCCGCTGTTTGGAGGGCACACCTCATGGTGCAGTGGAGCTGAGAGAGTTGCAGTATCAGGATAAAGATTTAATGCACATGGTCGTGGACTGCTGGCAGTTGCTCCATATGTCCCGGTCCCCCAAGTGGTTCCAGGCCAGTCTCGAAGGGGTGCAGGAGTATTCAGAGTGGGCTGCCCACCAGCCCACTGGGCCAGCGAGTCACTGGAGCAGCTTCTGGCAGCAGAGCCTGGCAGCCCCAGTTCGCTCACGGCCCCGCATGGGAGGTCCGGGCGGAGCTCTTCCACTCCTTGTGGCTCCACTCCTGGCTCGGGTCCTGCTGCAGGAAAGCAGCACAGCTTTGACGGGGAATAGGCAGCATCCAGCTTGAGCCTGCTGCCCAACATGAACCCCAGGTGTTGGTGAGGGCTGCAAGTTTGTGGTCCCCAAAGTGGAGACATGGCCATGAAAGTGGAGGGGCCAGGGGTCCCGTGTGGGAGGGTGTCACAGAGCACTGAGGTGCCCTGCACCTGAAGAGGGGAAACTGCTAGGGAGGGAGCCCTAGCAGTGACTAAGGAGCCCAGCTGTGGGTTGCCGGGGCAACCAGGAGGTCAGCTGACTGAAAGGGGCAGGGCCTGGCTCCTATATAAAGCAGAGACCGGAGGCCATATAAAGCACAGCCGGAAGGCCAGAGGCAGTTCCCTGCTAGCAGCCAGAGAGGCAGGAGTCCCCTAAACCAGGGTGCGGGAAGAAGCCTGACCGCAGGTACAGCTTATGGCAGCCCTAAGATGCTTGAGCAATGTCGTTATAGCCAGGCGGTTTATGTTTAAGTGTGGGCACCGTGAGCCCCAGATAGGGGGCAGCATTATTGGGAAGCCCAAGTGTGGGCATCGTGAGCCCCAGATGGGCCCCACGATAATGCTGCCCCTATCTGGGGCTCACAGTGCCCACACTTGGGCTCCTCAATAATGCTGCCCCATAAGTGTGGGCACCGTGAGCCCCAGATAGGGGGCAGCATTATTGGGAAGCCCAAGTTGGGCTCCTCGATAATGCTGCCCCCTATCTGGGGCTCACGGAGCCCAAGTTGGGCACGGAGAGCCCCAGGAGGGGGCAGCATCGTAGATAAGGCCCCAGAGAAAAGGGCACAGGGCGAGATAGGGCCGGAGAGAGCCCTAGCACCAGAGGGAGCGCGCATCAAAGGAAGGAAGGCCCAGGGAGAACAGGAAGGGGCCAGATAGTGACAGAGCTGAGACAACAGCTATTCCATCGGAGAGGTGTGGACTGCGGTGTAGGGCAGGAAAGGAAGCCTCAGATAGCGCCCCCTAGCAGTGGGGTAGGACAAGGGCAGCCTCCCACTAATTAACACCAATTAATCAATTAATAACAAGGCATGGCAGGAGAGTAAGCGGGCGGTTGCCGCGGGAACAGGTGTGCGGGCCACACTAAGGTCAGCTCAGAGTGGTCACCTGTCAGAGGGCCAGTTGTCTTTGGCATCTGCTGCAGTGATGTCTTCCAACCAAACCATTTTGAAGTGTGAGGACACTGATACACAAGATGTCAAAGGCTTCTGGAGTGTGGTAATTACCATGCTCCGGCAGACTTAATTAATTGTGTCTGCTTTGCCATGCTGTAATTACAGTGCATTGGAGCAGCCTCCCTGCTCGTGTATAGGCACCCTACGATTGCAATTATGACATACGAATTGAGTTCTGAAACTTCATTTCCGATTCCCTGTGGCTGTCTGTCTGATTTTTGTGGTGCTCTTGGGAATGCCCTCTTGAGAGATCTGTCTTCAACTGGCAGGAGAGTGATGCCAGGGGGGCTCTCTCAGAGCAGCTTTGCCATCACATTTCTGAGATTGATCTGTGCACAACAAGTGGGTAGGCTGGGTGTGTTTGAAAGCTGTATTCCTGGGGCAGGAGTAGTATAGACATATTGTGGTATAACAGGGCCTTGATAATGTCTACGATGTATATGTTATAATAATAGTTAGTTTTAGTATATCCCCCACACACCACACATGGGTTTAACATAAGACTCTGCAGTGTAAGAGAGAACTGCAAAAAGAACATTTCCTAATACGGTCATCCAAGGATCAGCTCTGTTATTTCAGAGTAAAAGCAAGACTTCACATATATAACATGGAGGAACGACATTAAAGACAGCACCTGCACCCTGAAAAGGCTTTCTAAAGCAATAACTCGTGGATAAGTTGCATTTCTGTGAGACGTTAGATTGGCAGAAATGTGTAAGTGCTGAGTCTGAGCAAGCAGGCTCCAGCCAAACCTGATAGAAGACAAATGGAATATACCGAAGTCCACAAGAGGCTTTGTTGAAGGGCAGGGGCCCTTGATATGATTTGAACTGGACACTTGTCTTCAATGCAGTGTTGACTCAAGTTGCAACTTGAATGTTGCCCCTAACTCAAGACCTATGCATGCACAAACCCTTATCTTGAGCAGGGTACTGCTCTGAAGTGGAGCTGGCCTGTTACAGGCTATCACCCCAGGTCACTACACTTGCTAGCTGTTAATATAATCACCGCAGGGATGTGTGTCCCCACTAGCGCACAACTAATCTTTCAGGGTCTTCCCATGGCCCCCCACAACTGTCCAGACAGGACCAACAAGTTCTCCCCCAAGTCTCTGGGAAGAAAATCACAGAATAAGTCAGCTTGACAGAATAAAAGAATTGCAGGGGTGTGCCCCAGGAAGTTTACGTGCTGCAGTGAATGCAGTGCCAGTGTGGACACTTCAGTATGACCATTACTTCACTGCGTGGCCACTCACTCAAGCTGGGCCAACTCAAGAGAAGCCACTGTCATGTGGCTGACTTGAGTTAACTGTGCAGTGAACATCTGCCCAGGCTAAAAGGTGATATGCAATCTCCTGAGAGACAACAGTTAAGAGAACAAGTAACCAAAAATGCTGCTGGTAAAGAACTCTTTGAAATAACCAGCATTATTGCTTGCAATACAGCAGTGCCCAGAGGTCCCAACCAAGGTCGGGGTCCTCTTGTGCGTAAATGTAAATACGAGCAAACACAGACAGTCCTTGCCCCAAAAGGGAACTAAAACACAGAAGTGACTTGCCCAAAGGCATACAGGAAGTCTGTGGAAAAGCCAGGAACTGAAATTAAATCTAAAACCCAGACAACGCTTTAACCAAAGGGGTCAGGTTGGGCATTGCAAACCAGCCAAGACAATCTATTACCCAGATCACTTTGTTGCCGTCTGCTCCAAGGTTATAAGGCCAGTGTGAACAGGGAACTTCTTTGTGTGGGGTGGCTCAGCCTACTTCCCGGATTACTCCCAGCTGGAGCCTGGGACTGGCTCTACCCAGCTGGGCCTAGGCTCATTACACTTGGAAGCAAACTCTGTGAATACTGCTGGAGTTCCTAATTTTCCTGAATTTTGCTTTCGAGCGGGACAAAATCCTCCCAGAATCCTGACATACTAAAAATTAAAAACCAAACAAATGGTACAAAGGACTGGTTGCTTTTACAGGGAAGTTCTGGAGAAGGACGCTCCCGTTCTGAAGACAGAAAGTTGCATATAATTTTTTTTTATATTTTAGTCTTCATAACGTCTTATGCTTGTGAAATCACTTGCCGGTTTTGACTGCAACATTCATTATTTCATCTGAGAAAGAGAAACATAAAATATTTATTCGTTAGCGATCTTACATAAATGGATATATTGTAGTTACAAATGATCTATTGTACCTACCCCTCAGTGTACATGGTCAATATATATAAGGCCATATGCAGTCACCCACATACACACCAGAAATCCCTTCTCTGCATATCTCTAGGGCAGCGGTTCTCAACCCATTTGCCATAGTGGGCCACACTTGCAGCTCTCCATGTGTTATGTGGGTTGCACCCACACAACTTATTTCCATTTAACAGGATGTCACATGGGCTGCAGCAGTGTGCTGATTGGGCCGCATGCGGCCCATGGGTTGAGAACCACTGCCTTAGGCTAGATGATCAGTCAGAGGTAGGGTGAGGGCAAATGAAACAATTATACCAAATTTAATTTACACCAGTTCACTGTGGGTCATGCTGAACTGATGTAATGATTATTAGGCCTGTGTGAAGCAGCTAGTATTAGCTTCGGATTTGGATTTGGCCAATTTGGGGGACAGTGATTCGAATCACCGTCCCAAATCCATTCTGCTGAATCTGATTCAGAGATTTGGCTCCTGCCAAATCTCCGAATCAGCCAGGCCAGGCTTATCCCCCGCCCCTCTCCCAGCTCAGCAATGATCGCCCTGCTCACCCCAGCTCCCTGCTCTTGGGGAAAAAAAGCACCGGCTCAGTGGGTGCTGCCAGGCAGGGGACAATCCCCGCTGCTCTCCACTGCCCCATGCTGCATGGGGGGCTCTGCATGAGCCCTCTGACCCCCCTCCACTCGCCCAGCCCCACCACAGGTGTCCCTCCTGCTGCGGCTTTGGCTCTTTAAGAAAAAGAAAAAAAAAAACGGAGAAAAACCCAGGGACCC